GTCGAATTCTGGTTTTTCTCTTTCAGCACTTTAGTGTTTAGTAGTGTTTCTATAACCAGTCGTGTAGACAGAGACAAGTTTGTGCAGTTTCAGTGTGTGTAGTGTGTGTAGGCGCTTGTGGTTGCTGTCCGCCGAACCATCTCGACCCTGAAGGAGAATTCCGGTGAGTGCTTTGAATTTTCCTTCTGCATGCGTTGCGTTAAATTTGAAAAATGATCACTATCAATCAATCTATCAATCTGAACAAATTAGCTATCCCCCTCCCCCAGGATTAAATGAAAAATTTAGTGCTCATTTCACTACACTTATAAGCTTATAACATTAACATCCCCTCCACCCGGAAAACAAATAAGAATTTAAAGCTTATTGCCATGCACTTATAAATATTCGGCAATGAAAAAATCCCAACCCCCGTCACACGGGTCGCGTAATTAGAGAAGTGTTTGAGCACTTTTCGTCTGCGTGGTGTTCGTCTACTCGGTCGCGTAGTGTATTTGTGCGCTTGTAGTTGCTGTTCGCCGAACCATAACGACTCTGAAGGAGAGAAGGTGAGTGCTTTGACTTTTTCTTGTGCATGTGTTCTGGTAAATTTGGAAAATTCACACTTATCAATCTGACCATGACGATTGATCGCGAGACCACTGTATGATTTGTGAACCCATAAGCTCTAATTAACCCCCCCCCCTCCCCGGATTGAAAGTAAAATTCAATTTTCACCACACTTATAAAAAATTCGGTAATTGAATAAACCCCACCCCCCTCCAACCCACCCTTGGGTAGCATAATCAGATACGTCTTTGCGGAATTGTCGTCCGTGTAGTGTTCGTCTACTCGGTCGCGTATTTAGTGTAGTGTCAGTGTCCGTTGTGTCAGTGTGTGTGAGGTTGCTTTCGGCCTAGCCATCTGGATTCTGAATATACAATCGGTGAGTACCTACTTTCGCCATTTTTTGTGCATGTGCAGCTTCATTTTTCACTTTCAGCTTCATTTTTCACTTTCAGCTTCATTTTCAGTTTCAGTTTCCATTTTTTAGATTTTGCAGCTTTCACTTTCAGCATAATTTTTCACTTTCAGTTTCATTTTCAGTTTCAGTTTCCATTTTCTAGATTTTGCAGCTTTCACTTTCAGCTTAATTTTTCACTTTCAGCTTCATTTTCAGTTTCAGTTTTCATTTTCTAGATTTTGCAGCTTTTCACTTTCAGCTTCAGTTTCCATTTTCTAGATTTTGCAGCTTTCATTTTCAGCTTCATTTTTCACTTTCAGCTTCATTTACAGTTTCAGTTTCCATTTTCTAGATTTTGCAGCTTTCATTTTCAGCTTCAGTTTCAGTTTCCATTTTCTAGATTTTGCAGCTTTCATTTTCAGCTTCATTTTTCACTTTCAGCTTCATTTTCAGTTTCAGTTTCCATTTTCTAGATTTTGCAGGTTTCATTTTCAGCTTCATTTTTCTTTTGCAGCTTCATTTTCCATTTCCCAGTTTGCAGTTCCATTTTGAAGCATGGATATATGTGGAATATGGTAATTATATATGAGCCTAATCATTTGATCTTAAATCATCTGATAGGTGAATTCCAGCTGCTTTCTGCTGAGAATGTCGAATTCTGGTTTTTCTCTTTCAGCACTTTAGTGTTTAGTAGTGTTTCCGTCACCAGTCGCGTAGAGAGAGACGAGTTTGAGTACTTTCAGTGCGTGTTGTTTTCGTTTACTCGGTCGCGTTAGCAGTGTAGGCGAGTGTAGATGCTCTCCTCCGGACCATCACGATCCTGAAGGCGAAATCTTTGTGAGTGCTTTGACTTTTTCTTGTGCATGTGTTAACAATTTCGTCAGAAAAACAAAGAAAATTGAAATTTCACGACGCGTATTAACGCCCCCCCCCAAAAACAAAAAATGAAATTTCATTTCACTACTCTTCTAAAGGTAACCCCCCCCCCCCCTCGAAAACAGAATAATTTTACTAATAATATATCATTTTGCATCAAAATGTTTACAATATTATATTTGTCGTTTAAAAGAATATAACAATTCAAAGTACAGAGCCAAAAAAAATTATAGAAGTTATATTTTGCAATGTACAGTGGGTACATGAAACTTGTAAGTTTAATCAACTTGAACTTCTATATATTTCATTGAACAATAATTAATATCCATGGAGTAGGTACCCACCCATATGCAGTAATATTATTTGGACAATTAATATCATTTTTTTTATAAGTACATATAGGTATTGGAGCTTTTGAATTGTCAAACTTGGTACACTTAAAATCGCACATGACACATTTAAAAGTTTTGGAATCTGTGGCGTAGCTGGTGATTTTTTAAATCGCCCTTCCTGTTGGTTGCGTAATCACACTGGTCACATTTTAAGTCTTTAGTGGTTTTGTGTGTTAATAGGTGAATTTTAAGATGGGATTTGTCATTCGTTCGGTAGTCACAATGGGCACATTTTAACTCCTTCACCGTTTTATGTGTTAAATGATGTCTCTTAAGGTGGGACTTGTCATTGGTGGCGTAGTCGCATTCTGTACACCTTAAATCCTTAGAAGTCTTGTGCTTGAAATTATGTCTTTTGAGATGGTATTTATCATTGGTTGCGTAAGCACACTGGGCACATTTAAATTCTTTGGAACTTTTGTGTTTTAACATGTGCATTTTTAAGTAGCACTTTCTGTGGGTTACGTAATCACAATGAGCACATTCCAAATCTTTACGAGAATTGTGTTTCGTTAGATGTATTTTAAAATACCATTTATTATTGGTTGCATAATCACACTGGGCACATTTTAAATTTTTTAAAGAGCTGTGTCTTAATAAATGCGCTTTATAATTCGATCTATCATTGCTTGTATAGGCGCACTGGTCACATTTAAAATCTTTTAAAGTTTGCTTCACATCTTTCTGAACAATTCCACTTTTCTCCTCTACTTCACTTTTATGTTCCCAATTAATTGTGAAACTGGAAGACTCTGCCTCGTTCGGTTCATGCTTTATGGTCACATTTACATCATTGGCACGAAAAACCTTTGTATTAATTAAGGAATGTAATTCTTCGTCATGCTCGGATTCAATTTTAACCACGGCAGACATTACCGAACAAATACGCAGCTACAGTAAAGCACAACGGCCGTAATTGTAATTCAAAATTCTTAAAAGAAATCGATGTAAACACTAAACAAGACTCTTTCCTTGTCTAAAGACAAGACCAATCAAGATTTTGACAGATGACAACATAAGAACGTTAAGTTAATCGCACAGATTCAACGAACCCCCAGGTTCTACGCTAACTTCACACTACAACAATACGAAAATATAGTCAACCCGGCAACGTTAATGTGGAAATTACGAATTGTAACTCATTTATCGTACATAGATTCTAAACTGAAGGGCTTTGATTAGCGTAATCCCGCTCCTGCAAGATAGGTAACCCGCCCCTGGTTTCACAGTTTAAAGTCGAAGACAATCACGGAATTAGGTGCCGTACTTCAATTAAAATAAAATGACCAAAATTTATATGACTGTAACTTTTGTGACAAGACCAAGTAATGTGATGATCTTAGCATCCTACTATCTTGGTGGTTAACGCCAACTTCAAGTCACACCGGGATATTGGACCATATTCTGTAGTGGCGGGAATGCCACACTAACATGGCTGCCTATTTGAATATTTTCGCTTACCTTTCCCGCGAGAATCTGTCACTCTGGGGCCACTCCGAGTGCACTAAGATCGTGATCGTCATGTAGGACACCTACGTTGTGTAATAACTGGGTTCTCAGCAGGCACTGAGGGCGTTTTATGGGTAAGGAACACCAAAAGCAATAGTTGATTAAGTTTATATTGCAGCTAATAACCAAAACGGTGCCCCTGCAGAGGGTCTTAAGCGGCGGTTCTATACTACTCCGGCATTTACCTTACGAATTAGGAAAACTGCAGGAAAACCTAATTCGGAGTAGTCCTATACGGGACAACATCCAATGTACAGCACTTTTGAGCCCTCTCGAAACCGGGGTAACTACTACAAACACGCTATGAGTAACCAAAATGGGATCGAGCCATTCCCCAGGTATTACAACACATACATCGGACAAAACTAAGAGATGTCAAATATACCTCGCCGGGCGGGAGGATTACCCAGGACCAGTGGAGACCCTGTAGTCCTGGGGTAAAGTTGTTGGGTTCGGAACGAGTGAAAATGTTAGTGTTAGGTTCACCAAGGCCGTATAAACTTGCGAATAGCTCGATCCCCTCTAAACAAGCACACTTCCCTCTTGATTACTCACAGTCCCAAATAAGCAAATATAATGAAATGCAATGAAATAATCGAGAGTGACTAAAAAGCACAATACACAAATTAAATATGTACACATGCAAGTATGTACGGCACAGATACAGCCCTACCGACAATGAAACATGATTGCCAATACCAACAAACTTTTTCTGTAATCCCACCAGATTTCGGTTGGCAGCTTGTGTAACTAACACGATGTATAGGGTGCTTCGTATCGACAATCATATTCACAGGACATTGCTAAGGGTGGGGCATCTCACATTTATGGAGCGACGCGTTCGCGGCCGCCATTCAAGACAACATGCCAAACGTCGCCAACGTTCGTACTCTCTAGATGGCGCAAATCGCTTTCCCCTCCTAAAAATTGCGTGGTTGCCAACTCTCAAAAATATGTGCATCTTCGTAAGTTGTATATACAGGGTGGAACCTCTCACTTTAGACATTATTACAGGCACAATGCACAAGAAAAATTGGTGGGTGACATTTGTGTTGCCCTGACTGTCATAAACGCCTGCCAGTATGACGTAGACATGTTGCCACCTGTTACTTTTTTAGAAATTTGGATAAGTTTTTTAAATCTTGTTTTGAGGGTTCACCCTGTATAGTACAAAGATCAAGGAGAATTAGTTCAATTTGCAGGATTAATCATATTCAAGGTTTTTGCGCCATCAACTTAGGGCCATTAAGATAAGGACGGCAATAAAACTGATACGAAAAAAGCATAAAGGATTTTCGTTTTAACAAAAATAAAAAATGCTACAACATCTTTAACAATAAACATTTCACATTTACTTCAATTACTTATAGCTATATCAGTCACCGATTATATCTAAAAACCTAAGGCCATACTTTATTAAAAACCTCCATGAAACTGTCGTATATCATGAAAGTGATAGCGACATCTAGACAGACCCGGCTCAACCGCGGTACTGTTCCCTTGTAAAATGCGGCGGGCCCCTCGTTTTTCCAGATTTGCATGGCACAGTCGAGAGTATTCTTGTACTTGTGGGCCTCCAGCCCCTGCATGCGTGTTTTTACCACGTCCACAGGGGTGTTACCGAAAACTGACGCGGCACCTGCAAGGGGATAAGGTCAATCGAGGGGTACCGGCCGAGTGTGCTCACCTGCAACGGCACCGAAAGCGCCCACCACGAGTTTAGGGACCGTCTTCTTAGGGTCCCCCCCTCGGTATTTGTCCTTGAGAGTTTCCATGACGAAGAAACGAATGGCCTGATTCGAGCCCTGCTTGATGATCGTGGCAGTGAGACCTTTGTAGACGCCTCCGATCCCCTGCTCTTTAACTATCATCCCCACCCCGTGAAAGAAGCCCTTGAATCGGGGCTGTGCGCTCCGCTGGTCGTTGATGAACTTCACTTTGACCGTCTCCATGGGAGTTACGGCGAATATTGCTTCGGCTACACCGGCCCCGAGACCGCACAGCAGCCGCCCGACCGGCGACAGATTTCCCTTGTCGTCCTTCATGCGGTTCTTAAACGCCTCGAAGGCCCCAAACCTGCGAACTGACGTGCCCATTAAAACGAGACGGCCGTCCTTACCTCACCGCGCTCTTCGGAATCGATCCGTACAGCAGGACGCTCAGTCCGCGATAGAGCCCGAAAAATCCGTGACCCTTCACCGTTTTCTTGCAGCAGTCCCATATGCCGGCGTACTGCTTCTGGCCGCCCTTCTCGTCGAGCTGCAGCTGGGTCTTGACGTACTCGGTCGGGAACGTTATGCATATCTCGATGCCGCCCGTGATGCCGCCGGCGATGATCCCCTTCACTCCTGTGTTACCGGCGGGGGCAGCCGCCGCCCCCTGCTCCGCCATCCACGGCCTTCGGAATGGGGAGTTGAACTTCGACATCCTACGGCAGACTAAGCGTTTACGTAAGTTCCAAAGTGTTGCTGATAAGGACTTTTTTACTGATCCATTTTAAATTTGAATTTGGGCGTACGCCACTGGCTAATTTAAATAATCGATTGAACATTCAAGTTAATTGCGTACTTACGTGGCTTAAAAACGAAAAAATCCGAAATTTGGGAAAAAAATTAAAAACAAGACCGTTTATGGCACTATCATTGTACGAGAAACTGCCTATTATGGAAATTATCTAATCGACGATACTTGCGCATAACGGGAAAAAATTAAGAGCATATAAAAGTAAACGTGACTCCCACCAACAACGCATGCGCTGGAAGTATTATATACAGAGTGATAATTCTGTCAGAAACACTTCCAAAATTTTGAAAACCAATCTGCATACTTTATAATTGTGCCCAGTGGCGTACCTCTGCCAAGTCAAAGGGGGAAGTTAGCCACAGCTTTTTTAGAAATGATTTAACAGAATCCTTAGGGCCGCGCTAGTATTCATTTGTTCTTTCCACAGGAACCCCGCCATATCTACGATTCCCTGGATAGACAGCCTCAAAGTCAGAAAGTGGAATTTTAGCCACAGCATTTCTTGTTATTGAAGCACAAACGTCGTGATTGGGAAGAATCCTTAGTGCTTTGGTAGATTCATTTGTGCTTTACACAGGAACCCAGTCACGCCTACGGTTCGGGCTATATATAACCTCAAAGACAGTAATTTCGAATTACCCTGTAGAGTTTTTACAGCATCCTGATTTTGAATCATTGATGCGAGCGATAAATAAGAAATAGCTGGGTTCGTGCGTGAAGCACAAATGAATACCAGTGAAGCGTTAAAGAATCCGCTACAACACGACATTTGTGCTTCATTAATTTAATAAAAACTGTGGCTAACTTCCGGCCTCTAACTTTGAAGTGCTTCATATCGGTGGTTAACTTTCAGGTTACATCCACGTTTTAAGTCAATCTGCAAGCTTTAAATTATTTACAGTGGCGTACCTCTACGTAACTCAGAGGAATACCCCCCGGGACAGCACGAATTAGTACTTCTTTCCCTAGAAATAACGCAAAAACGTACATTGGGAGGTATTCCATAACCCCCAGGCTCCCCGGTGCTACATTCTCCATGAAAACGTTCAGCCCTAAGGGGTCTTGTGCAATATTCTCGTAAAGGACAATGGGATTTTCTGCTCCTTGCGTCATGACTCATGAGGAAGGGTATAGAACCTGGGGGTATTAGAATTAGTAGACATACTATACCGAACCTGAACCGTTCAAGGTCGTCCGCCACCTAGTGGTGACCTTGGAAAGTAGGGCAAGGTGGCGTGCACTTGGCGGTGACCTTGTAAAATTATATATATTATATAATAAGATGAAATTTGAGTGTCACATGGGTGGTGACCGGTCAAGGTGAAAGTCGCGTGCCACGTGGAGGTCAATGACCATGTTTTTATGTAGTCTCACTCTCAAGGTCATCCGAGGACAATGAGTCCATGTGATGTCAAATTACGTTAATTTAAAGGTCATAGTAGTTCAATGCGACGTCATTGTTTGTGGTGGTCAATTACATTCATGAGGTCATCCAAGGTCAATGGTCCCATTTTGTGGTGCCAAATTACACGTAAAATTTCCAAGGGCACTGCTAAGTTGCACAACACCTTGACCTACTTTCCAAGGTCACCACCAACCTTGAACGGTCCAGGTTCGATTATATCTACTCGAATTAGTGCTCCTTTCCCTACAACTAACGCAAGATCTTACACTTCCATAATCCCCAGACCCCTCAATGATGGAATACCCCCTCCCCCCTCACCCAGAACAGTATGAATTAGTGCTTATTTCCCTACAACGATCGCAAGATCTTACAATTGGGGCATTCCATACTTTGTCTATGGTTATCAGAAACTTTATCTGGCCCTTATCGGGACATCAACCGCGGCAGAGTGTTCTGGAAGTTTATTTGGAACCTGTTCTAGCACTGTATCTATCGATTTACCTTGAACCATATCTCAGACTGTCTGGAATTTTATCTAGAACTGTGTCTCTTACAGTATCTGGGATATTATCTGAAACTCTATTCAGGGTTTTATCATGTAAGTTTATCTGGGACTTTGTCTAAAACTTTATCATGGACTACAGTAATTAATATTGAACCTAAAGAAGAGGTAGAAGAGATCCCTTAACTTTTTTTGATGAAAAGGTCTCTCTTACCAATGATGCCTTTGCAACAGTAAAGCTGGAACCTTATGAGACTACTACCAATGTTCAGGGACAGTCTACTAAGCTATCAGGAATTTTACAAAATTTTAAATGTGCCCAGTGTGAATATGCCACCAAAGAGAAACTGTATTTAAAGACGCATTGTCTGATACACAAGTCGTCCAAAGATTTAAAATGTGACCAGTGTGACTATGCAACCCATAGAAAATAAAATGTAAAAACACACCTGTTGAAACACAGGAGTTGTAGAGATTTTTAATGTGTCCAGTGTAATTACGAAGCGTACAGAAAGTGTCACCTGGGAAGACATTTCTTTATGCACAAGGCTTTCAAGGGCTTAAAATGTGAACAGTGCGACTATGCCACCAATGACAGATCTGCTTTTAAAAGGCTCTATTGATCCACCAGGCTGTTAAGGATTTCAAATGCGTCCGGTCTATCTATCTAAAATATCTTAAACATACAGATACACTAAGAATATTTCTAGGATCGTCTTAGACGTCCTGACTCTTACAACCACCCTGTATATCATAGCATCGTACGCAACCACTCTAGGAAATTGCATTCGTTGCCTACTTCAAGGGAGACTATACATAGTTGTACTATCCGAAAAGAGATGTGCCTTTGGCATTATAGGTTAGGTTCACGTGTTTTTTAAACTAGTAAAATGGAACATTTCATTGACGAAATCTTAGAATTAGAAGAAGTGCGAATTGTAAACGGAATCCGTCGTCAATACACAATACGCGAACGGCCCAATTATTTAGAAATCCTTGACGATTTTGATTTCTTTCGAAGGTTTCGTTTAAAAAAGCACACCGTACTGCTACTGTTGGGGAAAATCAATGATCAATTACTATCTAAAATCACTAGGTTCTCAAATTGCACCATTTACGTTTAGTTACTAATCGCAGAAATTGTAGAAATAGCAATATTACACCGATTACTCAACTGTTGGTCACTTTACGGTACTACGCCAGCGGATCAATGTACGTGACCGTTGCGGACTTCGCCGGCATAAGTAAGGCGGCCGCATGTAGAATAATTGAGAAAGTTACGAACGCAATTTGCGCATTACGGCCCGAGTACATCAAACTACCGTCCACTGTAGCGGAACGGAGTAGTCTTATGGACGAATTTTTTAAAATTGCTCAATTTCCAAAAGTTATAGGGGCAATCGACTGCACCCACGTACAAATACAATCACCAGGTAAACTTGTACCTTCTGTTGAGTCGAAATCTGAGTAGAAGGACGTGGGTTCAGACCAAAGCATTGTATTTAAAAGGCATTTTATATATATAGATATATATATATCATTATTGCGTCCGTACGTATTTGTACTTTATTGCGTCTCCTAGAACGGATAGGAATTCTTAAACTATTGCCGCGAATGTTGGTTTGGAATCGTATGTCGTGGCTAGAATCGTAACCAGATTAAAAAAATTCCCAGTATTTCGATATACGAATTTTCAGTCATATTGAATCATTCGTGCGTCCTTTCATATGCGCCATTGTCGCGCCCGTATATGGATTTCGCCGTATATTATTGCGTCCTGCAATGTTGCCAATGTTAATGCACAGTCATTCCTCGTCTAATCACATATTCAAGAGGACGTTGATCCGGCAGGAATTAATTTAATTATACGAGTCCAATTGCTTTTCCTTGTAAAGGTGTGGAACTTAGTATAAAATTTTGATTTTGGTTTTTGTCGACGTATGTCTCTATTGTAATTTACTTGTATTGAATTTGTAAGGTAAAAGTAAATAATTATAAATAAATGAATGTTTTCTTATAAGTTATTGGTGATCGATTTCGCTTTTATTTAGCATATTCGGACCTTAGCGCCAATTAATAAAGGTCCGAAGATACTAAATAAAAGCGAAATCGATCACGTATAAGAAAACATTCATTTATTACTACAATTACTTACTTTTACCTTATCTACAAATAAAACAATTTTATTGAATAAAATCTTTTGAATTTTTAGATTTTCGCAGATCAGCTCTGGGTTACGGAATAATGCAAAAAATTAAAGTGTACGCTTGTATTAAAATTTGTTTTTAAATGGTGGGAATAGTATAAGAGACGTCACGTTTCAATTGAACCCCGCCAAGTTAATATTTACAGCCATTAAAGGGGGGTCAGCTGTTAACCATCAACCAAAAATATTCAAAAGCGAAATTTAATTTGTTGATAACCAAATACAATCTTTTAGGTTAAACCATTTTAAAGAATAGAATTTTTTGAATTGTTACATTTTCGGAGATCAGCTCCATTATAATTAAACGTATCTGGACGCAACAATGTACTTTCCGAATGGAGAGTATAATAATTATCCTCATTTAAGATATAAAAAGATGATTATCTTATCGAAATGATGTCTATAAATAGCTTACAGTGTTGCCACATGTTGGACGCAATAATATACCAACTTTGTAAAACGTATACTTGAAAGCGTATACTAATTTACCGCCCCTAGCTGCAAAGTGCTGAACTAAAAAGATACAACTTCGTACGGACTGCGTCCACTAAAAATTTGTTATCTTTTAATATCTCGAAAACGGCAAGAGATGTCTCAAAACTGGTTTGTGCTATAGGAATCTGTTAAACCGGTGCATCCTTCGTTGATAGTATTTGAATGATAAAATGGCGGGAACATGGAAATACAGGCGATGCCTTTATTGCGTCCGATATTCGGACGCAATAATGTGCGTAATTGGTAAATGTATGGACGCAATAATGATAGAATGATGTATATAGATATACAGTGCTATTTATTAAGAAGTAGACGGGGATTTACGTGATTGTTTTTCCCTTTGTCTACTTTTAGGTATTAGGGATGAAATGACATGGTGCTTTTTAACAGTCATGTTCATTGATGACTCTTCGAATGTTGTTCGATTTGCCGCCTATAAGAAATGAGAATAGATACGGGGCCAGGCGAAATAGTCACATACGAGGCATGCTAAGGATTTCTTGATTTCAGATTAACACCAGATGCGCTAGGGTAATTTGCAGATGGCGTGTACTTACGAAACTTCCCGTGGACTTTCGGTCCCGAGTACTGTCATTTATCGCTCTTTCGAAAATTAAGGGCTCAGTCGCGTTTGTCTGTCTAGGTAGTGTAGATTAAGGCATGAAAATCAATTTGTAACAATGGCTCGCGTGAAAAAGCACGGCTTTGTCCTTCTATTCAGATTCGTACTGTATGTTAATTCCTCTTTTTGTAGGAGGAACCCAAGCGGAACATTTCAAAAATCAGAAAGGATCGTTCTCGATGAACGTTCAATGCGTTTGCGACGCCGCACTAAAGTTCGCCGACGTCGAACCGCATTGGCCGGGCGCGACGCACGACGATAACATTTTCGACAGCTCTCGTATACGAGCTCGCTTCGAAAATCAGGAAATGGCCGACGCCTTGCTACTGGGCGACAGCGGCTACGCCTGCCGCGATTACCTAATCACCCCGTTACACGAACCCCAAAACCGAGCGGAGGATCGGTTTAACGAGTCGCAAATGCGTACCCGTAACGTGATCGAGCGAACCCTCGAACTTTGGACGGGGCGATTTCCCATCCTCTCGATAGGGATGCGCTGCAAAATCCCACTAGTGCAATCGGTAATAATGGCCACCGCGATTTTACATAACCTATCAAGGGACGCCGGCGAGGATATGCCCCCCGATGTCGATGTTCATCGTGAGGAAATCGAAAATGATGTAATACTGCTCGGTAATAGTACACAAGTACAAAGACAACTAATTGAATATTTCTCAACGTAATACAAAGCTACTTAGATACTAGTTTGTTTTTTTAAAAGATCAACCCTTAATTTGTGCTCCTCCGCGTCAAACTCAATTCGTTTCAATAGCCTCTGCCGTTCTAATTTCCTCATCTCCTCTTTGTGAGCCTCCTCGTTGTTCAGGATGTCCAACTCCCTTCGGGCCACCGCAACCTGCAACTTCACGAGCTCGTTCCGTTCGTCGACCAAATCCGTATATTTCTTGTTGATGCTCTCCGTGCTGTACGGCTTTTGCATTCGTTTCTTCCGCAAGGGCGAATTTTTCTTGTTTCGCGTCACGGCCCAATGATTCCACGTGCCATTTTCGGCGTAGCTGTGTATTTTTGGGACGGCTGTAGACGCAAACTTCAAGAAAAAGGTTTCACGTGATCACACTTACTTGGTAACTCGTGGATTTCTACGGCGATCTCTGGAAAAGACGATCGATTATTGGCCACGGTTAGCTAAGTTACCTGGCTTGTGTTCGGGGCTGATGTTCACACTCTCCACCTCCAATTTGGCAATGAAGTTACTCAGGTTCTCGTTCAAGTCGTCATTGGGCGCAGTTGCGGGTGGTGCTATAACAAAAGAAAATTATGCCCTTTTGACAAGCGATGTTATCATACTTTGGGGTGTATCACCATCAAATGTGGTAGCTACTCCGCACGCGCTTAAATTTAACATTCGCAAAAGCCGCTTTTCCCAGTCCTTCAGATCGTTCTTTACCTCTTCGTCGTCGCTACACACTTTCTTTTTCAGCAGCTTTTTAATCGCCTCGTATTTGGCCTTAAGGTTAGTTTTATCTCTCGTCACCAAAATTCGTCTCGCGTTGAACTTAGTCGTAATCTGCTCCCAGGTTTCGTTTTTCTGTTTCCACGTGACGGCGTCGGACGTTTTGTTCTCGATTATGTTCCAATTTTGTACGATCAGGTCGACGAGCAGGCGCACCTCTTCGTTTTTGAAATTTTGCATGCGCTCGCGTTTCGAATTGAAACTCAAATCGGCCATTGTCAAATGAAAGGGCCGCGAGCGTAACGCGGAAATGGACTAAAAACGAAAAAACATCGAAGTTTGAGTATCGCATAGGAATTCTCTGCATTAAAAAAAATTGAATAGTTCCCTACAATTATGAGCGTGTTCCCTTACCTAACCTGTTTTTTTTACTTAGCTAAATCCACAGTTTGTTTTCCATTGTGTGTCCGAAAATTACCATAGATATACGAGAGATGTCTTTTTAGTTAAGCAAGTAAATAGTAAAGGTGAATTGGATTATTATTGTGATGATCCTAGCCTCCTACTATCTTGGCGGGCTAACACTAACTTCAAGTCACACCGGAATATTTGACCATGTTCTGTAGTATTGGGAATGGCAAACTAACATGGCTGCCTATTTGAATACTCTCGCTTAAGTTTCCCGCGAGAATCCGTCACTCTAGGGCCACTCCGAGTGCACTAAGATCGTAATCGTCATGTAGGACACCTACGTTGTGTAATAACTGGGTTCTCAGCAGGTACTGAGGGCGTTTTATGGGTAAGGAACACCAAAAGCAATAGTTGATTAAGTTTATATTGCAGCTAATACCAAAACGGTGCCCCTGCAGAGGGTCTTAAGTGGTTCTATACTCCTCCGGCATTTACCTTACGAATTAGGAAAACTGCAGGTAAACCTAATTCGGAGTAGTCCTATAATGAACAACATCCAAAGTACAGCACTTTTGAGCCCTCTGGAAACCGGGGTAACTACTACAAACACGCTATGAGTAACCAAAATGGGATCGAGCCATTCCCCAGGTATTACAACACATACATCGGACAAAACTAAGAAATGTCAAATATACCTCGCCGGGCGGGAGGAGTACCCAGGCCCAGTGGGGTCCCTGTAAACCTGGGCTAAAGTTGTTGGGTTCGGAACGAGTGAAAATGTTAGTGTTAGGTTCACCAAGGCCGTATAAACTCGAATAGCTCGATCCCCTCTAAACAAGCACACTTCCCTCTTGATGACTCACAGTCCCAAATAAGCAAATATAATGAAATGCAACGAAATAATCGAGAGTGACTAAAAAGCACAATACACAAATTAAATATGTACACATGCAAGTATGTACAGCATAGATACAGCCCTACCGACAATGAAACATGATGGCCAATACCAACAAAGGTTACACATTAAAGGTACAAGTGATTGAATTCAGTAAGTACATAAAGGGGCCATAAAAATTTTTTATGGCTTAACCGTAATGGCGCTAGCTTTAATTCAAGTGGCGCAATTGAGCTCATAACCAGATGTATCAAGTGGCACAAATACCGGTAGCAAAATGCGTTATGGGGGATTTCGTTCACTTGCCCCCCCCCCTCCAATATATTTAAGGATAACCAAAAAACAATAATGGCGCAAAGATATCTTTTTACGGCGCATTTCAGCGCATACCTGAGAGTACAATTTCGTATGAAAAGATGTTAAAAAAAAGTAACTTTTGAAAACGTTAAGTTGGCCCCCCCACTTTTTGAAAATTTGTCACGGCTTAACCGTAATGGCGCTAGCTAGCAATTGAGCGCATAACCAAATGTATCAGGTGACCTAGTTACAAGGGACAAAATACGTACTGGGGGGGGGGGCTACGTTCACTTGGCCCCCCCAAATGTTTTTTCGGATTTCTAAAAAACGATAATGGCGCAAGAGTTATTATCGGTGGCGCATATGAGCGCATAACGAGCGCATTCATTTCAAAATAATACGACTATGAAATCTCTCAGTGGGGGGGCCAAGTTAACGGACCCAAAGTTGACACTGCACATGCGCAAAACCAAATTTTGAAACTGGCGTCAAATTTGCTTTTATTCCTAGTCGCCATGTATCAAATTTCATTTAAATATACCTTCATAAACAAGAAAGTTTGCAATTCGGTCTGGAAATGGTCGAGAAGCACAATGGGCACTGTGAATGCTGATCGATTAGGCTCAACTTTTGGAATTGTGTCTTATGTGGCTAAAGCTATGCGCATATTGAATTTCATGCGATTCGGTTCATAACTAACGGAGATGTCAAAAGGGCCCACTTAATTTTTTTTGTCTACATTGCCAATTCACGAACTCCGATCTACAAATTTGATAAAGAATCCACCTGCAAAATTTCATCGTAATCGGTCCATTCGTTTATGAGTTATCGTGCTAAACGGACGGACGGACGGACAGACACCGCAAGATTATAAACTCGCTAGGGCATCATTGAAGGGGAAAAAGAGAGCATTATTGAAGGTGAGGTAGAGGCACAATTGAAGGTGAAATAGAGGGCATCTTTGAAAGTGAAATAAAGGGCATCATTGAAGAGGAAATAGAAGGCAGAATTGAAGGTGAAACCGGGGACATAAATAAAGTGAAATAGATATCCCAATTGAAGGTGAAATAGAGGGCGTAATCAAAGGTGGAGTAGAGAATTGAAAGTGAAATAGAGGGCATAATTGAAAGTAAAATAGAGGGAATCATTGAAGGTGAGGTAGAGGCAGAATTGAAGGGAAATAGAGGGAATAATTGAAGATGAAATTGAGGGCATAATTGCAGGTGAAATAGCGGGCAGAATTGAAGGAGAAGTAGAGGGCATAATAAATTGAAACTGAAATAGAGGGCAGAATTGAAGGTGTAATAAGGGCATAATTGCAGGTGAAATCGAGGCACATTTGATGATGAAATAGGGGCATCTTTGAAAGTGAAATAAAGGGCATCATTGAAGAGGAAATAAAGGGCATCATTGGAGAGGAAATAGAAGGCAGAATTGAAGGTGAAACCGGGGACATAATTAAAGTGAAATAGATAGCGCAATTGAAGGTGAAACAAAGGGCATAATTGAAAGTGAAATAGAGGGCAGAATTGAAGGTGAAATAGAGGGCATAAATGAAAGTGAAATAAAGGGCATCATTGCAGGTAAGGTAGAGGCAGAATTGAAGGGAAATAGAGGGAATAATTGAAGATGAAATAGAGGGTGGAATTGAGGGCATAATTGCAGGTGAAATAGAGGCACATTTGATGGTGAAATAGGGGGCATCTTTGAAAGTGAAATAAAGAGCATCATTGAAGAGGAAATAGAATTGAAGGTGAAATCGGGGACATAATTAAAGTGAAATAGATAGGGCAATTGAAGGTGAAACAAAGGGCATAACTGAAAGTGAAATAAAGGGCATCATTGAAGGTAAGGTAGAGGCATCATTGAAGGGAAATAGAGGGAATAATTGAAGATGAAATAGAGGGCAGAAGAAAAGGTGAAATAGAGGGAATAATTGAGAGTGAAAAAGAGCATCGCTGAAGGTAAAATAGAGGGCATCTTTGAAGGCGAAATAGATGGCAGAATTAAAGGTGAGGTAGAGGCAGAATTGAAGAGAAATAAAGAGAATAATTGAAGGTAAAATAGAGAGCACCTTTGAAGGCTAAATAGAGGACAAAATTTAGGGTGAAACAGGAAAAAATTGACGGTTAAATCGAGGGCATCATTGGTAGGGCATAATGGAAGGTGGAGTTGAGAATTGAAAGAGAAATAGAGGGCAAAATTAAAGGTAAAATAGAGAGGTGGGGTAGAGGCGGATTTGAAGGGAAATAAAGGGAGTCATGGAAGGTGAAATAGAGGACAGAATTGAAGGTGAAACCTGGGGCATAATTGAAAGTGCAATAGAGGGCGCAATTGAATGTGAAAGAGAGGGCATAATTGACAATTATCCAGTTTAAGAACAAAGGGTGTGTTGTTTTCATCTTACCGGGGGGGCCAATCCCTCCCCCCAGTCCCAAAAAAAGCTTAATTTTGAGTTACTACCCCCCAGACCCCCCGGTGGTAAATTAGAACTTAAAATAACGGTAGTGTACAGTTATAGTTGTATTCTGAATAAGGGGCGCATCTCACTGGGGGGCCTGGGAGTTATGAAAACCCCTCAGCCACAGAAGATAGTAGTTTAATTTTACGTTACGCCTTTTATTCAAAATACAAATCTTGTACACTTTCATTAATTTAAGTTCTAATGTACCATCGGAGGGGGGGGGGGGGAACGTAGGTTTGCAATATGGCATCTACCGATCCTTTTAAATCGCGAGCCAGAATTAATTAATTGATCCAATTTCAAAAAATTCAATTCAATTAAATCCGCCAAAAATAATCATTAGTCAGCAAAATCCGCAGGCCACGACCTTGTAAGGTCACAAAGTGGAGGGGATAGTGCCTGCTTTCTACTGATGTGTATGAATAGTACAAGATTCCTTAGGAACGAACAAATCCTACTGCCGCATCATGTTTCGTACATATACAGGGTGGCTTATTTTGTCGTGCACAGCATTAAAGGTACAAAAATGATATTAGGTGTTCGTAATTTTTGTTTTCGATGAAAAATCTAAATCGCCATTCTCAGACTATCCATTTGGAAAGCACTTATGGCTTCTCAAACATTTCTGCGGCCGTGTATCGTAGAGTAACCGCTAGGGGCGCTCTGATGACTATAAAGAAAGCGTGGCCCTATGCGCCATTTT